CTGTATGAGACACTTGAAAAAATAAATAGCTTAAACTGTATGAGATACTTGACGTTTCTCATCTTTTATTTGCTGATGAAACCTTTATCTTTTGTCACCCTGATGTGAGAAACCTTCTCCATTTGAGGTGTAGTCTTTTATGCTTTCAAGGGGTGTCGAGTTTGAAGATCAATCTCCAAAAATCTGAATTGGTTAAGCAGGGTGGTGATGGAGATGGGAGACTCTATGCGGCCCTTTTGGAGTGTAGGAAAATCACATTACCGATCAAATATCTTGGCCTGCTGTTGGGGGCTAGGTATAAGAGTAGTGCTTCATGGGATTCTGTTTTGGAAATATGTGAGAATAGGTTGACTGGTTGGAAGAGGAAGTTGCTGTCAAAAGGGGGGAGACTTACGTTGATAAAAAGCACCATAGCTCACCTTCCAATCTATTATTTGTCAACAATATCGATTCCGGTGAATATTGCGAAGAAGCTGGAAACTCTACAATGTAAATTTCTTTGGGGTGATGATGAGGACAATCATAGATTTCATTTGGTAAAATGGGAGGAAATAAAAAAACCACTGAAGTAGAGGGGGTTGGCTATCAGATCTATTGTCGATTTAAATGTGGCATTGCAAGGGAAATGGCTGTGGCATTTTTTACATGAGGAGGACAGATTGTGGAGGCAGATTGTCCGGATTCGTTGGGATGACTTAGTGTGGGATGACAGTGGAGTAACAAGGCTTAGAAGAACCCATGGCAAGAGCTTATCAAGGAAAATTTTGATGCAGTGGACGACTGGTAGGGGCAACAAAATCAGATTTTGGAAGGATACCTGAATTGATAATGAGTGTTTATTGAGAAGATTTCCTAGAATTATTCTATTGCTCAGGCACAAAATATGCTGGTTCAGGATGCATATAAATTAAATATCGGTGGTGTTGATTGGCTGATCAATGTTACTAGAAATTTGCAGGATTGGGAACTCAGAGAATTTAAAAATGTGCCCAGTTTATTGTCTGCTCAACAGTTGAATGCTGGTGAGGATAAGGTGCAGTGGAAGGTGGATAAAAGTGGGGTTTTTTGGGTCAAATCTTACTACAAGCACTTAACAAGCAGAAATAATGTCATGAACTTAATTTTTCCTACTAGGCAGATATGGAAGGCTAATGTTCCCCCTAGAGTTGCTTTTTTTGCATGGGAAGTAAGTAGAGAATGCATCTTGACAGTTGACACTTTAATTGCTAAGGGGCTGTTTATTCCCAACAGATGTTATTTATGTATGGCTGATGCGGAAAGCTGCAGGCATGTTTTGTTGTGGTGTTCGATGGCGTTTGGATTGTGGAGTGCTATTTGTAGTTTGATTGGTGTTAGTTGGGTGATGGCTGAGTCTATTAGGAAGGAGTTGTGGGCTTGGGAAGGAATACAATTAGATAGAAAGTTGAAATATATTATTCTATTATTCTTGTTTTGGATTCTTTGGAAGGAAAGAAATTCTAGAGCTTTTGACGGTAAACCTACTGATTTGTATAGGTTGAGAGATGGGTGAATGCATTATTTTGCGTTTTTATTGTTAGGGCATGATATAATTGGTGATGTGGATTTTGGACATGTCATTGACTCACTAACTGCATTATAAAGCTTTATGTATAAGGGCGGTATCCCCGGTTGTTTGGTATCATGTTAATATAGTTGTACACTTTTTATCTCAAAAAAAAATAAGGAGTCA